GAGTCCTGATCTGGCTTCACTGTCAGAGCAGGTCCACGCTTTGGGGGTGGGGATTGGAGTAGGTAACGACAGCTGCCCGGTGAAGCACAGTATCTGGTCCACGGCTGATGTTCGTAATAGTGGGCCTCTGTTACTAAAACCCGAAGGGCCCCTCAGCTGTCAGAATGGAACGTCTGATCGTCCTGGGAGCGAGCAAAGTGCCTTGAACATGGCCGGCACACAGGGAAAATGAATGAAGAGCAGAATTATCTTCAGAGCCTGTCTCTGCGTTCTCCTTTCTTTCTCTCCCCTGGCCCTTTCAGTGCCCTTGGTGTCTGCAGCCCAACATGTTTTCCTTTGTCCTTCTGGGCGGCAGGCTCCGATAAGCCCAGCCTGTGCTCCAGCTGGCCTACACTTGGAGCAGCTCGTTTGGCTTCCTGTGGAAGATTCCAAACCTCTTCTCTATTTGTTTCTGCCAACCTTTTCAGGCTACTTGGATTTTTTTCCTACTTTTGTCTGAAATTTCACAACATGACTTCCTTAGAGTCACTCAAAATACTCTTTCTTGTCTTACACTCTTCCCCAGAATTTCATTCTTTTTTGTTTTCCTGGGCTGAAAATTCCAAGAGTCACCGCACCAGCATTCCTGGAGGCTACAGAGGACTCCTTCTCCTCTCCAGGAGCCAGAGGCTGAGCACCATTCCCAGGGCCACCCTGAGGGTTCAGGGGACCCCCGGGAGCAGGGACCCAGCCATCAGCTAGCTCTGCATCTCACTTCTCACAGTTAACACCACTCTCACACATCAGTGGAACCCAGCCGTGGGGGCCACTAGATTTCACCACCAGGCCGCAGAATTCGCTGCTCCGTGTCCTCCCAACACCTCCCCTCTATCACGCCCTCTGCAGAAGGAGATCCAACTCTCAGTCCAGCCTGGTTCCTCTGAAAAGGAGCTGCTCAGGCAAACAGAAGGAGCTGAAATGGTTTCCAAGTACTGTGCTCCCCCAGCTTCGGTCCACACCGCCAGCTCTGGGAAGGGTGATGAGCCTTCGTTTTGGGTTTGGCGTTCCAGAAGGGTCTTTGAAGAGCCTCCCGGGACTGGCGTGGAAAGGTGATCACCCACACTGCACACAGCAGGAGGAGCTGAAGCTGTCACTTTCCTCCAGCTACTTTTATTGGTGAAGCCTTTCTGAGCCCTGACACTGACTCAGGCTTGGTCAGTGTGCAGGGAGGGCGTAGCTGTGGGTCTCCACACCTTAGGCTGCCCCTGCCCCTGGCAAAGCCAGGCCAAGCGCTTCCTGTGTGCCTGCTGCCTGGCCGAGAGCCGACGCAGGGAAGCCCTGCAGGCTGCCTCCACGATTTCTCTTGCTCATCTTCACCCACAAGCAGTCTGTGAGTTCCCTAGAGTGAGGTTGGAAGAATATAGTTGAGAAAACTGGGTCCCAGCCCTTGTGTCCAAACCAAAGTCAAACTCGAGCCTTCCTGTCAAGCTCTCGGGGCCTCTGTGGAGCCTCTTGGGGAGGATCCATTGGGGCTGAGCTCAGCACCTGCTGGATGCCCTCCAGCCCGGCTTCAGGGGCTGAGCAAGGGATTTTGTGTGAGTTTTGGTGCCCTGGGAATCTTATTGCGATTCACCGAGTCAAAGTATTACCTAGTGCCTTTTGTTAATTTTCTCAAATGAAGTGTTATCTTACCCCAGTACATACACAATGTAAATTCAGTTCTTGATGGAAAGAGAATATACTTAGCTGGAGCATAGGAAACAGTCTTCCATTAGAGGGACAGAGAGGTATGCGTGGCACGGGTGTGTACTCAGGTGTCTAGAACTTGAGGGTGATTTGCCACAAGACAGATAAGAAACTAGCCTACCCCAGAAAGCACTGTCTCTCGGAGTATGTGCCAGAAGAAACCTGAAATTGTGCCACTCTGTTGAGACAGTCATACCCCTTTCCTGCTGTTTCCTCCCATTTTACTCAGAGTCTCGGGGTCCTCCCTGTGGAAGAAGTAACTAGCTCTTCTGATTTGATGTCAGTTTAATGAAGGAAGGAAACTAAAGCAGTACAGAACTCCTCCATACAGCTCCCTTCACGCTACCCCACACCAAGGCTTTCTTTGGCTTTTTAACTTAATCCATTTATCCAGTTGTTACTTTGCCGTTCGTTAAATTCACCTAAGGAGTTTAACACAATCCCCACATCCTAGCGACTGGGGTTCACACATCAGTTGTCCACTTAAAACACACCAGATGGTTCCAATCTGCAACCCAGTTGAAAACCAGTGATCTATGGTTTGTTTTGTTTTCGGAGTGGTGGGGATTGAAGCAAGGACTTCTCTTATAGTAGGCATAACTACCGCTGAGCTACCTCTTGGCTCTTGAGAACCAGGGACCTAAGCCAGGTCCTTCTAAAACTCAAGCAGGTTCATGAGTGGCCTGGGGATCATGATGTAATGGGGATTTTGACTCAGCAGGTTTGGGGTAGGTATCCAGAGTTATCAGTTCCATCTTATGAGTAGACAGAATGGTCAAGGTATATTCAACGTCCTCTGATGCCAAGAGATTTGTAAGGAAGAGAAAATTTTGATGCCTTCATCTCTGGGCAAAAATTGTGCATGGGGAGGCAAGAGCACCTCTAGGACTTCCCCAGGATGTTAATAAATGGTTTCTAAGCTTCATACATAGATGTGACTGGCGTCTGTGGATTCCTGGGACTAGAATGATCCAGACCAAATAACCTGGTGGGTGAGTAATGCCAAATCCTGGCTGATGATCAGAATCACCAGGGAAGTTCCCAAAAATTCAGATTCCTGGGCTCCCCCCGCACCACCCCCATACCCTGTCATTAGGCACATTTAAGATGAGGCCCAGGGATCCGTATTTGTAACGAGCTGAGTTAAGTTCAGACAGATTTCAAGAGCCAGTGACCCAACTCATGCCATGCTCCTCATACTTGCACACACTGTGGAAGAGAAAGATGCTGCAGGCATGAGCTGCTTCTCTGTGGCAGCATTTATTTTCTGCCAAGGTCTGGGTGAGTGAGAGAAAGACATCTGAGTGTAGACAGGCCCTCTTCTAGGTCACAGACATGTGGGGAGCCAGATCCTGGCTAATGATTTCAGACTCTGAGTCTACCTTTGCTTTCCTTGATGGTCAGCTAATTTTATGAGACAGTAATGACAACAGTTGCTTGTAGTGATAGCTGATAAAAGAAGGAGATTTAGCTCAGCAAGAAGAGAAGATTTTGGGCCAGGGATATAGCTCAGTGGCACAAGCACCTACCTAGCAAGTGCAAGGTCCTGAGTTCAATTCCTGATGCCAAAAAAAATTTAAAAAAAAAAGAAGAGAAGATTTTGTGTGATGGCCACATGCAGAGGAGGGAAATGATGCTTTGAGCAGGGTGCCCACTCCTCTGGTGTAACTGGGGTGCAGCTGTACCTGGTCATGGGCCCCCCTCCTGGTACAGCTCTCTGTTACCCTGCTTAAAAACCCAGGGCAAAGATTTCTGAAGCCGGGTGACAAATCATAGTCACAATGCTGACCTGCAAGTAGAAATACTCCAGCCTGTGCCTCTGGGCTCCCACGCTCTTCTGCCTGGAGCCCCAGGGAGATGCTGCCAGCTGTAAGTGAATGTGTCACATCTGGCTCTACTCACAGTGAACATCCGAGGGAGAGATGAGCTACATCAGGATCTGTTTGGTACCCAATGCCTGCACCCCTTGCTTGGTCACCTGTACCCCATACACTCATTGAAATCACTGCCTGAGGAGAACTTGATATACTTATTCATGGGATTTCTTTAACCAATAGATTAACAGCTCTTCCTCATCTTCAAAGCTTGATTTTTTTTTTTTTGTTAAATTAGGCAACAATTTCAATGTTAATCCTATTTCATCATTCATTCTTACATTTATTTCCTGAGCACGTATAACACGTGAGTAAATGCCACGTATTTATATATTTTAATGGACGCAGTTTTTCTACATGCCCATTTTACACTTGAAGAATCACAAATTGGAGATCTTGAGCTACTTCATCATGCATCTAGAAATCTAATTTGCTGGAGCTTGAACTCAGATCTTTGCTGACTCCAAAGCATGTTCTATTTCCTCTAAATCACTTCACACACCCAATAGAGGCTCTTTCTCCTTTTAGACATTGAGGCAGAATGCTCACTGTAATTTTATGTTCAATATTTTTATGGGAAAGACACAATAAACTAAAAGACACACCCCAACTGAAAATAGTTTCAACAGGTAACTATAATTTTCCTACTTTGTTAGCATGCTCATAAATCAATGAGTTAAAATTCATACATATTCTTTTTACTGAGAAGCCATTCTTGACTCTCTAATCTAAGCAAGGCCCCTTCACTTCATGGCCTCTGTCTTTCCTTTCTTGAGTGTTTCTGTGTCCTTGGCAGTGTTAGGCAAATGCTTACTCTGGACAGGCGGACTCTGACCTACTCGCCACCAATTTAGGGCTGGACAAAATAGGATGACACGAGTTATCTGCATTGGAAATATTCAAGCAGCCAGATGGTGGCCAATTTCTAGAAAATGAACTTTTTATGTTGGAGTAGCTTTAGGTTTACATAGGAGTGGGAAAGATTACACAGAGTTCCCACCCACTTTCCCCCAGCCGGAACATCTATGCCACCCTGGCTAATTAAAATGTCAGGTAATTTTTTTCAAGTGATGATTTTTCTCTTTTTCCTGTGGAGTGCGGGTAAGCACTGGGCATGTGGCCAAAACCCGAGTCTTGGGAGCTTCGACCTTGGTGGGCACATTGAGCTCTCCAAGTCTCAGTTTTCTCAGGGCACCAGAAATAGATGGCCTGCCAGGTCCTTTTGGGAGGATTAATTGAGACCCCCACGATGGTGTCTGGCACACTTGTTAGGCATAAAACTCTGTAATCTGCCTTGAAGTAGAAGTTTCCGTCAGGCTGGACTTTGAAAGCATGCCCAGCATTTCTCATTTTGACCGTCATCTCCCTGCCGGGCAGAGCCATACCTTGACTTGTGTTTACAGAATATACTTTCTGTGTGTTTGTCTCCCTCCTCCTTTCTCTCCCCTTCTCCCAATAAATCCTGTTTGACGAATTCAGGCCAAGGGCAGTTACTCTCAACACAGATATTGTTTCCTCTTCCGGATTGCATCTTTCAAAGTCCCGGGCAGAGCCAGGTGGTATCAGCCAAGGCCGGGAGCAGCCCCATACTCAGCCCATGCACTCGGAATTCTCAAGCAGCTGAGCCCTATGGGAGTGCCAAGAGGGTGCAAAGGCAGAAATGTTTCCAAATTGTAATGTTAATGGTGCTGTGAGGAAGGTTGTGTAGGAGCGGGGGTCAGGGAGAACGGAAGGAAAAAAAACAGACATAACTGGAAAATTGGGGCTGCCATCATTTTCCTCCAGCTCCTGATTTATTTTCTGCCCCCTGAGCAGGAGGCCAAGCTGGCACACATGTTTTCAGAAGTAAACAGAATCTCCAAGCACTTTAGAATAGATGGCACTTTTGAAATGCTGCACACTTGGTGCCCACGTCTGCCTGTGTCTGCTGCACACAGTTGCCCTCCCAGGGCACAGCTTGCCTAGTGCACCAAGTCCAGAAGACAGCAGACACTGGGAGATATGGGGCCTGGGGCTGTGCCTAGATAACAAGTCTTTTCTCTGAGGCTTTTGTTTTTTATTTACACCAATCCTTCCAGAAGATTCCACTCAAAATAAGTGGTTATTATGCCCATTCAAAACAGCCATCCAATACTCCTTAATTAGCACCAGAAAACTTGAAATAAAACATTTGCACACTGTTACTCTTTTTTTTTTCCTTCTTAGCAGAACATAGTTGTTCTTTAACACTTGTTTTTCTTTCCATGCCCAGTTTTTTAATTGGACCACTCCCTGCACGTTGGGTCTCTGGCTGCAAGACTGCGTGAGCAGAAGCAGTCTGTGTCTCTCCTCAGCCAGGCAAAGCAGATGACCAGGAGCGGAGTAGGAGAGATAGCTTTCTGAGGGGGAAGAAACTGGAAAGGGAAATTTTACAAGCATATGGGTACTGTTAAAGTAAGAGGAAGAAGAGGATACAGTGCAAAAGGTTACCTACCAAGATTTTGAGGAAATTAATACTAATCTTGAAAATCACCATGTGTAGAAAGTTCTAGAAATATAGGCCTATGTTTTCCTCTACATTAAATATAGCTTGTAAAATGTCAAGACTTATCAAAGTCTTTGTCAGAACCAAGACATTTCTACTTATCTGTCGGAAAGAGGATTGCCGTATATTACAAGACAAGATACAGAAAATGCACATGTTTCTTGGCACATCTACCTCCCCAGTGTACAGAAAAGGTCACACAGCTTATCTGTGAATGACAAAACATTGATTGCTGCCCATTTTCTGATTACTTTCTCCTTCCCCTTGTATCGTCCAGGTTTCTCTCATTTTCTTTCTCTCTGTAAGTCCAGAGTTCTCCACATAATGAGGAAGACGAAGAAATGGTTAAGGGTCAAAGTTCAAAGGAAGCATGCGGAAGCAAAACATGTTTAGTAAAAACAGCTTTGGAGTTAAGAAAGCTGGGTTTTAGTATGAACTCTGGCACTAAACAATGATAATTTGAAATAATAGCAACACTCACTGGGCACATATGTTGCCAGACATTCTTCATAGCACTTTAAATGTAACCTGCCCTTATTGCAGGTGAAGACACTGGAGTCTAGATGTCTTCAGTGATCTCCTCAAGGTCACTCAGCAATTGCAGGCTGGGCTGGAATTCAAACATTGTTGAGGCTTGTGCCTCCCTTGTGCAACTGGAAGCAACTTATTTAGCTTCACTGAGACTCTGAAATAAGGCAGAATTAAGAGATATTCATAAAGCACCTTCTCAGTCTTTATTCAAACAAAATGAGTCCCAGCATCACCTTCACTCACCCTTCGTCCAGACACAATACAAAAATAGGCCATCTCCCTCCACTTGATACTGCTGGTAGGCATCTCATGCCTCTCTTAGGTCAGCTTTAACAAATACAATCAATTGGGGCTGGGGATTTAGCTCAGCGGCAAAGCGCCTGCCTCGCAAGTGCAAGGTCGTGAGTTCGGTTCCCGGTACCGGAGAAAAACAAAAAACAAAAAACAAAAAAATAAAAACAAATACAACCAATTTATAAAGAATAAAGGATAATTTTGCTTCAAAATTTCAGAGGTTGGCCAACTGGTCAGTTGGTCCTATTGCTTTTGGGCCTGTAGCAAGGCAGCACACGGGGGAGAGTATATGGTGATGCAGAGCTGCTCATCTCATGGCTGACATGTGAAGGAGAAGGGGAAGGAGAAGGAGAAGGAGAAGGAGAAGGAGAAGGAGAAGGAGAAGGAGAAGGAGAAGGAGAAGGAGAAGGAGGAGAAAGAGAAGAAGGAGAAGGAGAAGAAGGAGAAGGAGAAGGAGAAGGAAGAGAAGGACAAGGAGGAGGAGGAGGAGGAGGAGGAGGAGGAGAAGGAGAAGGAGAAGGAGAAGGAGAAGGAGAAGGAGGAGGAGAAGGAGAGGGAGGAGAAGGAGAAGGAAGAGAAGGAGGAGGAGGAGGAGAAGTAGGAGGAGACCAGGCTCCCACCATGCTTGTGAAGGGCATTTCCCCTATGGCCTAAAACCCTGAAGAGGCTCTGCATTCTGTTCCCACCACCTTCCAGTAGCACCACGTTAGGGCTCAGCTTTTAACATAGCTGGACTCAGCCTTCAACATGGCTGGTCTCAGCCTTAAACACGGTTGTTCAGACCAAGGTTGAACTCAACCTTTAACATGCGGGCTCCTGAGGCTCATTTTGGATTCAAACTCTAGCAATATCCAGTATGGCCTTTTATCATCAATCCCAAAAGGTGCCTATGAGAGGTACCCTCACATAGCAAGCAAAATATTTGAGTTCATTGAGTCCCTCGCAAAGGATCTTATTAGAGAGCTCTGTAGATTAGCACTGCAATGTAACAACACACAGGAACTATACTAAGGTGTTTATTGAGGTATTGTGCTAAGTGAAATAAGCCAAACCTAAAAGAACAAATACCGTGTGATGCTATTTATACAAGAGATTGAGATCAGGCAAATTCATAAACAGAAAGTAAAACACTGATTGCTAAGGGGAACGGGGAACAGGACCTGAGGAATTAATGTCTAATGGGGATGGAGTTTCACTTTGGGAAGATGAAAAGGTTCTGGGCATGGACTTTGGTGATGGCCGTGCAACACTGTGACTCTGCTTAATCTCACCGAAATGCACACTTGAAATTGGTTCAAGTGGTAAATTATATGCTATATATATTTTACTACAATAAATAAACTACATGAACAATCAAACTGCTTGCTGTTTATGATTTCACTATGTGTTTATTAAAATAAAGTATAAAAATCAAGTTATAATAATACAATTTTCACTAAACGTAAATAACTGGAGTTGTGATTCTATCCAATCTTTTTCTTTATGTCTGTGTGCAGTGGTACCTTGGTTCATGTGGTTGATTCTCTCCATAATTCTGGTCACAAACCAAGTTGCACAAGAAAGAAATCAAATTCAGTGGTCAGGGTCAGTGCTGACCTCAGAGGGAAATTTGATTTGGTTCTTGTTCACTTCAGTTTGCAACTAGAATGGTGGAGAGAATTGAGTTTGTGAACCAAGGCACTGCTGTACTTCATATATATTTAGAAACTAAATATTTGAATCTAAACCCTCCGTAATTCATTCATTTTTTTCTGTTTAACATTGTGCCATATCTTCCAAACAAATTTTATGGTAAACATAATTGTAATCACTGTGTACTAATTTAGGCATCTGTAATTTATTGATCCCTGGCTCTGATTTTGGTCCCTCGGCTTTTCCAATTCTCCACATTTAAGTGGCATGAGATCAGTCATGCTTCTCCCCTAGGCATTGCCTGCCTCTGCTTACTTCCTTGGACAGGCTCCTGGAAGCAGTCACTGGGTCTGAGTCAGAGGACAGTTATGTATTGGAAAAACCTTTCTGCTCTTCATCCGTGTATGTGTGTTTAGATTTTCTCCTTGTCCTTTGTTTCTTTGGCACAGGTTGAAGCACTTACAATCTCTCCACCTCTTTTGGTCTTGGCTGGCTGTACAATTCTCATACTTCCTGTGTTGAAAACTGCCTTTTGGGAAGCTGTGCTTGAACTCTGACCAACCCTAAGGCCAAACTTGCCGGGAGTGGTGGCACATGCCTTTAATCCCCACACTCGGGAGGCTGAGGCACGAAGATCACTGCAAGTTCGAGGCCAGCCTGGGCTACAAAGTGAGTTTGAGGCCAGCCTGAAGTGCAGAGTGAAACCCTGTCTCAAGAAGACAAAAAAAAAAGGAAAAACAAGCAACTCTGATATTGCTTGTAGTTTGCCTATGGCCAAACCTGGAGAACTGAGCCAAGGGGGCCTCTGAGTACAGGGAATCAGACAGGGCTCACGGTTCCATTCCTGTCCACACGGCTTGTCCATGAAGGAAGTTGTGAGGCTGAGGTGGCAGCTTAGCTCCCCAGCACCTGGAGAAAGGCTCCCGCAGCTCAGCTGGGCCCTGGCACCAAGGCCTCAGCTCTGCCCTGCCTGCCTGAGGGAGCCTTGCACACACTTCCTGCTCAGAAGGAGCAAGGACATCAAACTTTGCCCTGGCTTCCTTGGCTGTTGGTCACCACACGGCTGATGTAGCCTGGGTAGCACTGACCTTGTGCTCTCTACCTGTGTCCCTTACTTCTCAGAAACACACACAGACTCACCCTCCCAGGGGATGCTGTGAACCTCTGGTCCCCCTGGGAGGTGATTTCTGGCTTTCAATATCCTTGAGGCTTCTTATCAGACTTGGCTGACCTCGTCTCCTTATGCTCATCCCTTTCTCCCCCAAACTCCCTCCTGCTCTTCAGATCCAACTCAGATGTGTTTGCTACATGGAAGCTTTGAAGACCTCTCAAACTAGGTCAGTAAGGTGTCCCTTTTTATAGTGCTTTTTACCATTTGTAACTGCACTAATTTGCATTAACATTTGATGAATGTAGCACTTAAAATTTTCATTCAACCAAAAACATTTTAAAGTACCTGTGTGAGGCAGGAACTGCAGCTTTTGCGGGAGTGAATAAAACAGATTTGGCTCCTCTCCTTGTGCCACTCAGAGTCTAGAGGGAAATAAACCAATAGAAACACAATTGCCACAGCAAAACGTGCCTCGGAGGAAGTGAAGCAGGTGCAATGATAAAGACTGGCAGAGGGGCTTCAGCAGATAGAGTGACGGTCAAGGCCATCCCGGAGGCCAGAAAAGAGAGAGGAGCTGCCCATGGGAGGAGCCTAGAAGAATGAGGGAGGCTGGAGGAAGGTACCACATCTGGACTGCAGGGAGCTTTGAGGAATTGGACTGCAGCTGCCCAGAGGGAGTCGTGGGCCAGTAGGTGGAGAGGCCGAATGAACAGGACCAGAACACGGGGAAGCAGTGATATGAAGCCGGACCCATGCAGCTGAGAGGCAGGAGAGTGATCACCGGGTCTGAGGATGTGGAGGTGAAAGGTGGCCTGAATATCATGTTCCTGCAGCAGCCAGAATGTGGTGGTTGGGCAGGTAAATGAATGCTGAAGATTTAGAAAGCCTCCATCTGAGAAGAGACACCATGGCTGTGTGGGAGATTAGAAAAACATGGGTGGTGAAAGAGAGATAAGAAAGACCACGAGTGGAACTAAAGTTGGTTTTCCTGAAATCAATCCTTCTTTCCTTTCTTCCTTCCCTCCTTTTTTCTTTTTTAAAGCTTTGGATGGGAGATGGTACAACATGTTTACAAGCTTTGGAGATGACTAGTGGGGTGGATTTCTAATGTTTGGAGAGGTAAAAACAAAGAGTTCAATCCTTAAGCTGATAAGATGGGATAGGAATCAGAAGAGAAATGATAGGTAAGACTTTTACAGGAGGAGAGCCATGTTATCATTTTTTAAAAAACTTTCTGTTCTGTAAAGTTGAAGACTACAAAAACAGAGAGGACAGTGTGATGAAATTACGCCTACTCATCACCCTAACTTCAACACATGGCAACCTCATTTCCACTGTACTCCTACCCAATTTATCATTTCCAGGTCATTGTTGTTGTTATTTTCCAGTGTTGGGGGTAGAACCCAGGGTGTTGTGTATACTAAGCATGCACCCTACCATTGGTTATATTCCCAGCCTCAGCCCTGCATTATTTTGAAACAATCCAAGACACTAACTTTTGATTCACAAGTACTTCAGGAAGTATCCCTTAAAACAAAAACTTTTTAAAATTACAAAAAGCTATTGTCATACTAAACAATTAATAATTTATTAGCGTTATTAATAATGTCCAGTCACTGCACTAATTTCCCAATTTTCTCTTACATGTCCTCAAGTGGAATTTGAATAAAGCTTTTAAAAGTGAATTTTCTCTTCCCTTTCTTTTTTTTTTTAACATGTAGTAGAAACCAGGTCTTTCATCCTGTAGAATTTCTCACATTCTGGATTTTGCTGACTGTGTACACAGGTGTCATTGAACACATCCAACCCCCAGTGATACACCCTCCATCAGAACTGTTAGTTTACACCTTACAGATAAAAACTTGCTGAAAGGTCTGCTTCTCCTTTGGAGCAGAAAGAGTGAAGGACACCTCTTAGGTAGTGCCCTGCCCTTCCTAAGCATCTATATCAGGAAATACAGTAATGGATACAAATTTGTACTTAAACAAGTTCAAGAAATCTGTTGTAGAAAATGGTGCACGTGCTTAATGCAATGTAGTTATTTCATGATATATTTCATATCAATATGCTGTATGTGTTAAATAAATAATTTTACTTATCAGTTAAAATAATAGAAACTGAGAGGATAGGGGTGGAGACAGGTTGATCAACAAGTACTAAGTAGCAATAAGAGTAAGAAGTTCTGGTGTGCAGCTTCATAGTAAGGTGACTAGAGACAACAACTGTACACGTATGTATCTCAAAAACCTAGAGAAATGCTTTGCTGTTATCATCATTAAGAAGAGCTAAATGCTTGAGGGATTAGATATGTTCAAGCTGATCACACTATATATATATGTCTTGAAAAATTGTATGGTACCCCATTAATAGGCATAATTTTTGTATTTTTATGCACCAGTTAAAAATAAATTTAATTAATTAAAAATAAATAATTGTATTTTGTAACCTCAATCAGGGTGTGGTTCTTACCGGTTCCCTTTGCTATAAAGTTTCTCTTAGTGGTTTGAGCAGTTAGGGATGCCACTGCCCAGGCCCACTGTTTCATCAGGAATCGCAAAGGGATGTGATTGCCGTGCTGCCGTTCTGTCACAGGTTGGATTACAGTAATCCCCCATTCTGATGTGCAGTCCCAGCTCTCAGTAGCTCACAGTGGGGCCTTATTTGACAACAGAGGTGCTACACACACGGACAGTCAGGGTGAGGTCATAGAGGAGTAGGGTGACCCTGTCATCTAGGGTGAGCAATGTTCTTTAAGAAAGGAGACACCAGGCCAGTTGCGTAGTACTCAGAAATGCCGTAAGCCAAGAAAGTTGCAAGCTGAGGGGAAGGCTAGAGCAGACCCATCCCTGGTGCTTTGCATGAAAGCATGACTCTGCTGTCATTTCCATCTCAGACTCCACACCCTAGATTGGGAAACAATTTCCTGTGTGTACGCCACACAGTTGGTGGTACTGCATCGCGGCAGCCGTAGGAATTCGTACACAAACTGCAGTTCCCAGTGGGAATCTTAGAGAAAAGAGGAAGTCTTTCCCTCATACTTCTTATTCTGAGGTGTAATGCATACAGGACACGCCAAATGTGTGCTCCTTTCTGTTTACCAGTTTTTAGAAATTGAACGATTTCCTAACATCCTCCAAAGGTAACCAAGGAAGTTTGTGAAGTTAGTGATTTTCACACTATGTGTAAGTTTTTAAATGTTTGCTATATTTCAGCCCATTGCATTTATTAACCTTGTCGGTGATCAAATGGCTTTTTCTTTGGCCAGAGGTGGTCTTTTCCAGACTTCCTGAGTCTGCTCCCTGCAGTTACCTGACTTTCTTTCGTCGTGGCACAGTAAAACTGTATCTGGTTCATCTGGCCCCAGACATGGAAATTGCTAATTCTGAGAGACCTCTGGCTCACTTCAGTGGCAAGTGATCTTTTGAGACCAGAATCTGGGTGCTAAGGAAAGTTGTGGCTGCTAAGGTGATTTCTGTTTCTAGACCTTTCCAGGGGATAAGGCTGGAAAAAAATTAAGAAAAAACTCTCATTGTTTATAGTACATGCTTTTTTTTTAAGCTGAAAATTCTTGTTTTCAGTCATTAACTTTATTAGGATAAGTTATTTGGCTTGACTTACTGTGTCTGTATTATAAATGTATTATAGTTAAACACAGAATAGTTAGGTATTTCACATGCATTATATATAATACACACATAATGTATTTATATATGTGTATCTCCAAAATAAGAACACCAATTATAACTAACAACAGTAATATTGTTGGTGATAACATCATTAACAAAATTATTTCTACTAACAACTATTACTAACAATATTTTTGCAAACTATTTTAAAGGCCCTTTGAGACTTACAGTACTTGGGATGTATACCCCACTAAAGGTGTACAGTGTATTATGTTTCAAAATCATTTGAAATAATTTCTCTTTGCATGGTTAATCCACTAAATTTATATACATCTCGGCCTAGTGGGTTTACTTTATTTTTACTATTTGGGGAAGCACAGGTTTTCTTTCCAGTACTAGGGATTGAACGCAGGCCCTGTGCACGTTAGGTAAGTGCTCTACCACTGACTACATCTCCCTTTTAAAAGAAAATATTTTTTTGGAGACAGGGTCTCACTAAGTTCCCCAGGCTGACCTGGAGCTTATAATCTTCCTGCTTCACTCTCCAAAATATCTGTCCTACTGGCATGTACCACCATGCCCAGCTTAGTTCTATTTTAAATGTATTTTATTTCATGAAATATTTAGCTGTCTCCAAAGTGAAATCAGTAAAATAAGGTTTGTTTATGTAATCCAGCTTATATTTTCTTTCCTGTCACCTTGTTCTCTTTCCCCTACATATATAACCATTTTTATTAGTTTTTGTATGTTCCTCCATTAAGACTTTAAAATAATAGGCTTATATACTACTCTACCCTGTTGGAAGATATAAGGTAGGATGCTATGCACGCTATTCTCTACTTTGTTTTTTCCAATTAATATGTCCTAGAAACCTCTCTGAATCTGGATGAGGGGATTCCTTTTTATAATGCATGGCTCTCCACTGTGGAACTTAACTAATCTGTGGTTTCTGCAACCAGTCTCTTAATGATGGACATTTTCGATTATTTTTCTAGTCTTTTGCTATTACAAAGTATAGAGTAACAAATAGCCTGTATGTATATTCTACTGTATTTTCACCAGCCTGTCATAGGGGTATTTCCTTAGCAGTGGGATTGCTAAGCCAATTTGACTTGATGTTGCCAAACTCCCCGCTGTAGGAGCTGCACTTGTCTGCATTTACCCCAGCAGTGCATTAGAACAGCGTTTGTTCCTCATCTGAACCCGTAAAATGCACTGTCAGGCTCTGGATGCTTGCCAATATGACAGGTGAAATGGTATTTGTATTTAATTCCAATTTGTACTTCCTTTATTTGTTCCACTAGATTTAAAGGATGCAAAGATAGGACGAGTGGAAGTGTGAATGTGTTTTTAGATTTGGTGGTACACGGCTGTTTGCCTCTCTAGGCTGTAAGCTTCATGAGGACAGGACACTGGTTATTTTGAATAGAGGAGGCACTCACCATTGTGCACTGTGAATGAATGAGTGAATGAATGAATGAATGACATAAAATCTTCTTCCTGCCTATCTTATAATGCTACTGGGGTCTGTGCAACTCCTTGCCTTCACCTTTTCCTTCACCTCTCTCTGGGCTCAAAACCTAAAAGTAGGAGAGCCACTCAGACATCTAAATTAAATGGTGAGTTGAAAACAAACAAAAGAACCAAAGAAAAGGCTTTCCTAATGCTCGGATCATGAGGTTAATGGCTGTGCCTGAATAAATGAGATGTGAGGCAGGGTACAGCAAGACAATGTTCCTACTTTGTTGACTGATCTGGGGAGGGCAGAGCAGCCAGGAAAATATTATGCAGGAATGATGAATTGTGTGACTGAGGGAGAGAACAACTCTGTGTGAATTCTTTCCCTGTTCATTTCATCTTATTCAGACTAAAACTCCCAGAACTGACAGAAACTTCAGGGCTCATGAAGGCTGTGATTCCACAGAACCATCCTCATGCTCCTTCAGTGTGTGTGTGTGGCTGCCTGGAAGAACAGGGTCCCGCCACTGCAAGCAGACCTTGCTCCTTGGGGATAAGCTACGTTTAAGCCCTCCTTGATACAAAAACCCTGCTGGGGTTGTTACCTGCAGTGTCCCACGAAAAGGCACATTGTGGTAAAGGATTGGTTGCTGATGGGCTGTGGACAAGCAAGTGGATCACGAGGACTCTGACTTCATCATGAGAGTCTAATTTGATAGCATTATTGAGAGGTGTTGGAAATGGGAGGTGGGGCTTAGCTGAAGGCTGTACATCATGGGGCTCATCAGGGTACGAGCTTCATGGCTATGTCCGGTCCCTGGCCCCTTCCTGTCTAGCTGTTTCCCTTGTTCTCTTCTTCCCAGGCCAAGAGATGAACCGCTGTGGTCCACCACATGCTGCTGCCATGATGTTCTGCCTCACCTCAAGCCGCCAGCATTGGAACCACCTGACCATGCACAGAAACCTCTAAACCTTGAGCCAGAATACACCTTTCCTCCTTTAAATTGCTTTTCTCAGATATTTGGTCACAGTGAAAAAGAACTGACCAACAAAAAGCCCTTCAGGTAAGAGAAGGATTTTTTTGCTATTTATATTTTATCTTTTGCTCTCAAAAATATCAGTTGCCTTAAGCTTTTCTGCAGTGATATGGCTCCTCACATGGAAGATGACTCCTAAATTTCCACTCCTTCTTCTTCTGCTACAAATCATCCATCCTTTCTGACTCAAATTCAAACTTACCTGTGGTGTGTTGGTGCATGCCTATAATCCTAGCACTTGGGAGGTTGAGGCAAGAGGATCTCTGCAAGTTCAAGGCCAACCTGAACCCTGTCTCAAAAAACAAAACAAGGGGGCTGGGGATTTAGTTCAGTGGCACAGCGCCTGCCTGGCAAGCACAAGGTCATGAGTTCTATTCCCGGTACTGGAAAAACAAACAAACAAAACAAAACACCAAGTTACATTCCTTGATTATATCAAAATTAAGGATTTCTGTTTAATGCAGAAATCATGTACACAATTAAAGGAGAAATAAAAATTTGGGAGAATACATTTTAAGTGTCAAAAGCTGACATAGTTCAAATGTCTAAAACATACAAAGAATTTTTACAAATCAATTTTTAAAAAGCAGGGACCCTAATAGACAAATGGGCAAAAATTAGAAACAGGCAGTTCACAAAACAGGAATCCAAAATAATATGCAAATGAAGAAATATACATACTATTTAAGAGAGATAAGTTAACAACTATAGCAAACAGCTACTTTCTACTTACCACACTGGCAAAAATAAGAAAGCTGGGAGACTGCAAGTTCAGGCAGGTACTGTGGTTTAGATCTAAAGAGTTATCCCAAATTCTCATGTGTGTGGAAGGTGATTAGCTCACGGGGATGCAATATTCACCAGTGGGTTCATCCACCACTAAGTTCGGTAGCCAAGTGTGCTTTTGGGTGGTGGGGCCTGGTTGGAGGTGAGTCACTGGGAGCATGACCTGGAAGGGTGTGTTCTGTCCCTGGTTTCTCTCTTCTCTCTTCTTACCCTACTCGACTTCCTGGATGCCATGAGATGAGCAGCTATCTTCTGCTGAAGCCCTTCCACTGTGCCCTTTCTACTTTAAAGCCAGCCACCCACGGACTGTAAACATGAACCAAAATGTACCTCTCTCCCTCTAAGTCTTGGGTGTCAGGAAAAGTGACTATGACAGCAAAGTCATAGGGAATACAGGTTCTTATGAGTCATAGATGACCACCCTTTCTTTGGAGCAAGATGGTGGCACTGGGTCAAATGCACTTACCCTAGGACCATGAAATCCCAACCTTGGAATTGCCTCCAAAGAAGTTTTCCTGCTAGTTTCTGAGGGAAAATGTGTGAGAATGCTTGGCATAGCTTGGCTTATGGGAACTGAGAGATGGAGGCAACCTAAGTGTCCAATACTGGAGGAATGATTCAATAAAATAAAGAGTAGTTTGGATCTCTGTACAGCACCAAGAAGTCATGAAAGAGAGGTACAGTTTTTGTTATTTGTAGTAAATCTGTTCTGTAAAGTCTCTGCGAAAAACAAATTAGCAAGGACTAAATCATTGTTCTGGGAAGAAATACAGCATTAGGTTCTATGAGCCTCTGGTCACAGTGTTAATAAACTTATTTCGTTTGTATATGTTTTTAAAAATCCTTATTTAATACACATTGCTGATTCATTGGTGTTGAACTCATGGCAACACCACTGGAATGCAGGCCCAAGCAAAGATTATCAAGTGCGTGTACTCCCTCTAGGGCGTTTCCCAGCCTTCTTATGCTGAGGAAATCCAGACAGCACTTCAACACTGTGCTTAGGGGTCCTAATACATAGTGAAATTATGCAAGAATGCAAAATGGGAAAATGTGGCACTAACTGGCCTGTGGAAAGGACATGGTGTACAGTATGAGAGCAGAAACAAGAAGGCATGACAGCACCTTGCTGCCCCTCAGCTGGAACCTTGCCTTTTAGGCCACTCAATTTCCCATGGTCTGTGCTTGTGAAGAAGTGACCATGAAAGGGCTACAGCTATCGATTGTGAGGTTCTAATAAATTTTATCAAGTAGAAAAATTCACAAATGCAGAATCCATGAATCATGAGGATGGACTGAATGCTCACTCACTCTCTTGATTCTTAAAACAGAATTGAATGAAAGAGCAAGAGTGGATCAGGTACATAGCACAGTACCATTCATGTCAGAATATACACAAAAAAACCACACATAGTTTTCCAGAACTCGTGCAAATCGAAGGACACTCATCCATTAAGATGCTGTCTCCTGGGTGGGGAGCAGAGACACAAAGGAATAAATGAATACAAATAAGATGAGACACACTAGTGTGTCCTAAATGGAAGACACGATGATCTTGGGCCTCCCCACAAGCAAGGTCTGAACTGGAATGAGCCTCCCACTCTCTCCCCAGCTCTCTGAGTCTCTCTCTCTCTTTTCTCCCTTGTTCCCAGACGCCTCCTTTCTCCCACCTCTTCCTGGAAGGCCTGAAATTTCTACTGAGCTCTCTTCACTTCAGGTTGAGATTCTTGAGGGGAGGAACTTTGTCTTTCCTGCCTATTATGGCTTAGGTCTACCGCAGTCATCTCTCTGTCTCTCTCTGTCTCTCTTCCTCCATCACACACTCCAATCATAATGTAATGCTTCCTTCCTCACAGGGCCAAAAACAAAGGACAAACCAACTATGGGTTGATAGCTCTAAAACTGTGAGCCAAAATAAACCTTTCCCTTTTTCAAGTGTATCATCTCAGGTGTTCTGTTACAGTAGCTCAAAGTTGACTAACACACTCTCTGAAAGTGATGATTGGATCACAGTTTCTGGTATATTGTAATTATTTCCTAGCATATATTTATTTATACCCTACCTTCCTGTACCTACTTGCTGAAAGAATAAAGGCATGCATAACCAAATGGGAAATTTCCACACTTTTCCATCACATTTTGATCTCCTCAAGATGAACTCTAATAATTGTATTAGTCATAGAAGGGTGTGCCCTATACAGAGCAAAGGAATTTTTCTGTACCTTCAACTATTATCTGCACAACTGATAATACGAGCTGGCATTGCATTTGCTCTTTGGACAGCTAGTGTGGATTCACATTGAACTTGTCCTAAAAGAAACTGTCTATGTATTTTGCACATGAATCACATCTCTCTTTTGCGTGTGTGTGTGTGTGTGTGTGTGTGTGTGTGTGTATGTGTGAGCACGTGCACTTTAAACCATTGATTCTCCCACTATTTCTTTCCTTTTTGGTACTGGGAATTGACTTCAGGATCTTGCACTGGTTGTTGATCCATATCCCCAGCCCTAAACCATTGATTCATAGTGTATTTAATTGGTTAGCATCTCATTTCCATCTTCCAGTGTATCACTCATTTCTGCCAGTTCTGTGTCACCTGGAAGCTGGTAAAAATGCTTTCAATTACCTTCAGTTGTTGACAAAGACCAGAACGTCAGAATAAGCTCTGTGACAGCCAGTGCTCACCTCTACACACACTTCTGTGAATTCTTGCAGACAAGTTGCGCCAATCTCCTGTCACTGAAACTGAATTTCTCTTTGCTTCTCTGTTTTTCACTCTTCTCCTAAAGGATGCCATGAGAACTTTGTAAAATGTCCCCTGAAATCCAAATGCATATCATCCACCTGAATCTCAGTGTAGTTTTGTATCACTGAGCCATAGAGATGGAAGTGTATGTTGGGTGCTTTTATACATCTTGGTACATCACAGGAGGAAAGGGATGGGAGTGCTCACATGAATGCAGTTATTCCGTGTTATTCATGGGAGACTGGCTCTGAGATCCTCATGGAGATCCAGATTCAAGGATAGTCGAGGCCCTTGTATAAAATCATATAGTATTTACATTGACCCTACCTTCATCCTCCCATATCCAGTACTTCAAATTATCTCTGGATTACTTATAATATTTAGTACAATATTGTTGCCATGGAAATAGTTATTATACCATATTGTTTAGGGAACAATGACAAGGCAAAACCTGCACATGTTTAGAACAGATACAATTTTTAAAAAGTATTTTTATGGGTGCTTGGCTGAATCTACAGATGCAGAACTTGCAGCTAGGGAGAACTGATGGCTCCAAGTGTAGTCACATTCCAGACCAGTGGATGCTCAGTGACTGTGCCTTGACTCAAATCCAGGGCTCCTGGCCCTTCATACAAAGGGCTTAAAAAGTACTTCGATAGTTTAAGAGAGAACATGCTAGTTCCTAGGGACCATGCCCTGCTTGTTAAATGAATCTGCACTAGAATGTTATTGGGGCTTCATATAATTTGGAGAAAATTGAAGCCCAGAGAGCATTCAGGGATTTTAAATAAGTCAAGTCTCTAGAGCAGATGTACTGTGTTCCAGAACACAGAAATAACCTATGTATATTGTCTTGGAAACACAATAGGCAGGCATTTTTGGAGCAGTCTATGAAGGCTCTCCACAGAATAGTGGAGTTCTTTGAGGTCTCTTACAATGGAGAAATTGGAGCCACAATACAGAGTTGGGAATGTGTATGGGATGATCTGGATAAATGTTCCTTCCAGTGTCAAAGTGCTCACTCTGGCTCATATAACTAGACAAACAGGGTCTTGGGACTTGGAAAATGCTACAGGGACACCTCTCAGCTCAGCCTCATGGCCAATTCCCTTCTCAAGAAATATTCTCAGAGATAGGTAACAGCAGCTCTTGCAGTCTTAATGGGGAAAGAGGTCTTCTCTGCCAATCATTCCAGAAATGTCCCAGAGAGGCCTCACTGGACCCCCTTGAATACATTTGACAGATTTAGCAAATCAAAATATAGAATGCTCTGTTAGATTTAAATTTCACATAAAGAACAAATAATTTCTCAGTGTGTTTCATGCAATATTTGGAATGTACTGCTATAAGATATTGTCTACCTGCATTCTAAATTTAAATTTGGATTAATCAGCATGATATATCTTTTCTGGCAACCCTATCCTCACACCAATCCTTGTAGTTAAGTACACAGGAGTTTAACTGATTCAGCCTGAGTTGAGTGATCATACCCTGG